CTGAGTTATAAAGTCATAATTCTGAGTTATTAAGTCAGAATTGGAAGTTATAAAGTTGTAATTCTGAGTTATAAAGTCATAATTCTAAGTTATAGTCACAATTCTGAGTTATTAAGTCAGAATTCTAAGGTATTATGCCAGAATTGCGAGTTATTAAGTCAAAATTCTGTTATAAACTCCCAATTCTGAGTTAGGTCAGAATTACGAGTTATAAAGTCACAAATCTGAGTTATAGTCAGAGTATAGTTTGAGTATTTTTTTTTTTTACATTGTATGTATTTAAAAAAATAAATTAATTAATTCAGTGGCTGGTACGGGCTTCCATAAAGATTAGCAACAAAGCAACCAATATCTGTTTATGTCAGCGTAAAGTAGTTTGGACAACTATCTTAAACTAGCCATTGCATTCTGCACACATTATACAAGTTTTTATCATTTATAATCAAATATTCCTGTGAGTATTTGATAGGACAAGCCTAAAAGAGGTTTAGGGAACTACCATGTTCAGTTCAACCTCTTAAAAATGAAAATAAGTGTTATAGTGAGCACAAGGGCGAGTCCTGAATGAAAACACATAATCTAATAGAGGTGTAATGGAGGACACGGCCAGCCTAAGACCACAGAAGAAAGGAAAACAGCAGTCAGATCGGTCATGGACACAACATGGAGGCTTTAGCATTTCATGACGATTGACATTAAGTCACTTTTCAATCTGTTGACCTTTTATGTGGGTTAAAGCTTGGCAGTGGCAGCCTTAATGGACAAAACGAGAGAGAGAAACTACGATCTACCCAAAATACCAAAAAAGCCTTCAACCACAGATGGTAGTTGCCTAAAATGAAAACAAAAACAAACCGTTTCCACAGTAACCTCACACATCCAGCTGCTTGGAGTCTGGCTGACACCGAGTTATAAGTCATGCTAACATTTCCTCGGTTAACGCCACCATCCTACGAAACATCCATTCATCCACTTCACTGTGCAGTGGGAGGTGAACCACAACTCCAGCTAAGCATTTTCCTAAATGACCTTGTTCGCTCAATTTGATATGTTATGGAGCCATCCAAATGGACCTGAGAAGTCCAAGCCAAAAATGCACGTTTTGGATTAAAAGCTCGACCATCTTGTGAACACATGTCTTCCTCAGTGGGCTTCTTTGACCCATTGTTTATTATGACAAAGTGGAGGAATATTTTTAGATGTTTGATTTTCTTTTCTGAAATGTTAACTTGTTTTGGCCAGAAGGAGGCAGTGTTGACTCACAGTATATGCTATTGAACTGTATGTTCAGTACAGAATGCTAATTTAGCTATTTTTGCAGTGTATAGCATGTATAATGTGCACAGAAAGCAAATATTGTTTATTTTCATAAGAACTGGTACTCACTACAACCATAGCAGCATAAATTCAAAACATTTATTGAGTTTAAAGGTGTTTATCTAAACATATTAGCATTATTCAGTACAGGTAAAGCTACTAAACTGTGTAGCATACTACCAATCTGTTAACATTTTTCATTTAGTATATTCTGTTCAGGAGTAGAGAGCAGTATGCTAACATAAAGGAGCTTATTCAAAGAGCAATGATGTTAGTTTGAAAGAAAAAAAGCGTGCCTAAATGACTAGGTTGTGGAACCTGCATTTGAAAATACAAAGCATTAAAAAAATATTGAGCTATATTACTTTGTAAGACTGTAAATAGGGTGTAGGCTATGACAATTAATTTCTGTGACTGTTAGCATAGAGCTAACTAACTCTCCCATTGCTTTTTGTAGCCCAGTGAAGAGAAAATACAAAGCTAATCTAAATGTATGTCTGTAAGGCTGCATATGGATTGTATGACCATAGATTTCTGTCACTATTAGCATAAAGACAACAGACTTACTTGCTAATCTGGTTTTGTGGTGTATGACAATTCATTTATGTGTCTGTTAGCATAAAGCTAACTAACCTGCTACTTTTGTCTCTGTATAAAAAGTTTATGCTTTTTAAAAAATATGAAACTAAATTACCACACCTGTAAGACTGTATATGGAGTGTATGACCACTTTTTTTTGTCAATATTAGCATAGTAAACTAGCTTGATAATCTATTTTCGTAGTCTGTAAAAATGTCAAATCTCTGTATTAAAAACTCGAAGCATGTTTAAGCAGTATTTAAGCCTGTAAATAGATAGTTTGACCATTCATTTCTACGATAGATTAGCAAGCTAGTCAGTCGCCTCTATGCAAACCTCTCAGATGTTATAGATCAGGGGTCACCAAACTTGTTCCTGGAGGGCCGGTGTCCAGCAGATATTACCTCCAACCCTAATCAAACACACCTGAACAAGTTAATCAAGCTCTTACTAGGTATACTTGAAACATGCAGGCACATGTGTTTAGGCAAGTTGGAGCTAAACCCAGCAGAGACACTGGCTCTCCTGGACCGAGATTGGTGACCCCTGTTTTAGATGTTTAGTTATGAAACAACGTTTAAATGTATCATTTTAAATGTAAAAACACTTGTCTGATAGATAAAGACTTAGTGATCACTTGCTCTCATGTGCCAAAAATGCCATTTTTTTGGAATTGTTTTGAAGTTAGCATCTATATTTTGTATTGGTCACACAAGCAACCAACCAATGGCATTTAGGAAACCACCAAATCTTTATCTTTCAGAAAAAGTACTTCAGTTTGACAGAATTAAAACTTGTCTTAATACAGAGATTCCACAAACCAAACAAACTATTAGCAAGCTAGTCAGTTTTCCCCTTGGTAACAGTGGCCAGTCTCCAGGACGAGCTGTGTTTTTGCCACCGGGGGCCCTTGTATAGACGTTGCCAGCCTTGCGTTACTGCCGTAGTGTTGACAGCGATGGGGCAATTTGTCCAGGGGTGGGTGGGTGTGTAGAAAGTGGGATCTCTAACCTTTGAGCCAAAGCTGAGGAGCAAATGAGGCCTGACTGGGGAAATATCTGGAATTATAAAACAGTGTCCATCCAAGCGAAGTGGTCACAGTCATTTTGTGTTGCGTAAGCCAAAAGAGTGTGTCCAAATGGATATATGCTGATAGCAAAAGCGCCTAAATGCAAATGTTTATTTTAAGAGTGTGTGTTTTTTTCGGGGAATCTCATTTGTGTCACAATAGAGCTCCAGAACTTTCTGAATGAAGCTTCTGTCCGAAAGGGGACTGGAGAAAAGCCACGATAATCCATGGCAACCATCACTCCTCCTGGCCATCTTATGAACTTCATGACCCCAAAGAGCGGATGCAGATTTTTTCTGGACACATATCTGATTTAATTACCTGAATTTACAATCAGTTTAGGTGGAATTTAAAAGCATTGTGATGGATAAGCTTTCAGTTAGCTTGAAGATCAACAACATGCTCCATTTTCTATCATTGTAGAGACACTAAAAGCAATGATGCATCACCTAAATGTGCAAAACTACATTAATGTGTATAAATATCATATACTAGTTTCTAGATTAGGAATATGGGCCATTGACAAATCATAATGTTAAAAAAGTACTCAAAATTATGAAAATGTTGAATTTAAGGTGAACATGATTGTGCCGAGTAAAACAAATCTTAAAAATGATTGTAAACATAAAATATTGCCAGCATGCACAGGACGCTAACATGATGTCAGATTGACATAATACCCCAACATCATGGGGACATTGCATCTTGTTTGAAAATGAGGAAATAGCCGGCAGCTAGCTCTCTGAAACTTTTACATGGTTGCCCACTGAAGCTAAGCAGGGCTGCGGCCGTCAGAATCTGGATGGGAGACCACATGGGAAAGCTAGATTGCTGCTGGAAGTGCTGTTAGTGAGGCCAGCAGAGTGTGCTCAACCTTTGTCCTGTGTGTTCCCTAATGCCCCAGTATATTGATGGGGACTTCATACTGCTCAGTGAGCACAGTCTTTCAGATGAGACGTTAAACCGAAGTCCTGACTTTCTGTGGTCGTTAAAAATCCTAGGATGTCCTTCGAAAAAGAAAAGGTGTTTAAACCCGGCACCTGGCCTTATTTGCCCACTGGCCTCTGTCCATCACTCGTCCTCATCATAATTGGATTCGTCTCCTCTCCACCAATCAGCTTGTATGTGCGGTCTGGGGCAATTTGGCTGCCATCGAGTCATCCTGGATGAGAGACTTGAGGTTGTGTGGACGTTAACTGTGGACGTCTATCAAACGTTGGATTTTGGTTGCCGTACCTGACGACTAAATGTCAGTATATTCTAACACAATCAAAAATCAACCAAATATCAACGTCATTGGAGGTTGTTATTGGACGTAAAATCTAACCTAATATTACGTAAAATTGTAAAAACTTAAAATTCTATTCATATTTATATTAATATTATTATTATAATATTTATAATATTTATATAATATAATATATTTATCCATTTTCTTTTCTGCTTAGTCCCTTTATTAATCTGGGGTCCCCACAAGGGAATGAACCACCAACTTATACAGCATATGTTCTACGCAGCGGATGCCCATCCGGCGGCAACCCATCCCAGGGAAACATCCAAACACACTCATTCATACACATACACTACGGACAATTTAGCCTACCCAATTCACCTATAGCGCATGTCTTTGGACTGTGGGGGAAACCGGAGCACCCAGAGGAAACCCATGCTAACACAAGGAGAACATGCAAACCCCACACAGAAATGCCAATAGACCCAGCCGAGGCTCGAACCAGTGACTTTCTTGCTGTGAGGCAAACATGATATCCACTGTGCCACCGTGTAGCCATAATATAATATAATATAATATAATATAATATAATATAATATAATATAATATAATATAATATAATATAATATAACATAATATAATACTACATTAAACGATAATTGAATCATTTACATCTTAAACTGCTTTGTCAGGCCATTTAATTTTATGTGCATTTTTAATGCATTTTGGAATAAATCAAATCCCACCATGTCATTGACCCATATTCATCCACGCATTAACATGCAAATTAGAGTTCAAGCTCACCTCTCCACCACGTCTTCTCCACTCCAGCAGGTGTTTTCATCCATCACCACCTCCCCCTCACACAGCATCTCCGGCAGGTTGGAGAAGAAAGACTTGTACCGCTGGATGTAGCCCATAAACTCCCTGCAGGAAGTTCAGGCTTTCAGGAGGCGATCAAAAACCATCAAACCAGGCCTAATTATAGAGTACAACCAGTTCTGCCCCAGTCATCATGATATTTCTAATCAAACATGCCCAAACACTGATAGACACAAGCTGCTTTTTTTTGTTGTTTGTTACCGTTATTAATGCTGACAGCGTTCTTCCTTGCTCGCACACGTTCATTTGATGTGAGATTAAATCGTTAGTACATTCTTAGGCTGGCAGCCAATGTCATTTTAATGACAAAATAATTAGAGGTAATTTTATAAAAAAGAAAAATCTTAAGGGTATGATCGGAAACGCAAATGCTTAGTCTTACTTTGAAATCTTTTTCAGGCTCCTGGGTTTGTCATATTTGGATGCTTTCAGAGGCAGAGACCTGCAGTCATCGACATGTGGAGATTTGTGAAGAAAAAAAAGACAAATTGCATATAAGCTGCTACTAGTATGTGTTGCTTACATAGTATTTGTACTGTCGCACATAACAAACATGAATATAATTAGTACTGACATCATTTAAAAGGTATTGAAAAAATAAACATAATAATAATAATGAACTTTATTTTCTGTAGCACCTTTGTGCAACACATGTCCGACAATTCGAAGAAAAAAAATTATTATAAATTTCATACAAAATAATTAGCGATAAACGATAAGTGTCCAAAAATAAAATAAGATATTCTAAGCTTATTTCCTAAGTAAGGTAAGATATTAAGATTTCATAAGGTTTTCTATTTTTAGATGAATATAGGTTACATATGCTATATTCTCACCGTCTTTTGAGAGCTATGTGCTCATGTTGGTTGCCTGTGTCAGGTAGTGTTGTATGGCTGGAGGATGTGTTTGAGGTTTGGAGTTCAAGGCTGGGATTCACTGACGGAGTCAAACTTCCCAAAGTCGAATTGGCTGGAGTGGAAGAAACCGATTCGGTCAAGGACCCGCAGACTTTACCAACCTAAAGAGAGAGAGAGAGAGAGATGAGGAATAAAAAGCCACTGGATGTTATGGATAAATTGTAAACTGACATCCACCAGTTCAAACAAACAGCTCCATCTAGTGGACACTAGTAAGTGGCACAATAACACTCTAGTATTATTTACAATAAGTTTAATTAGAACAAGCTTGCATGATAAACGTCTTTTAACACTGAATACTGGATTGCAACGCCTTAGCATTGAGATGCATACATTATAAGGGCAAGTTTCGGGACATGTTTCCACAATAAAGTGGAATAGGCTTTAAGAAAGTTGTCTATAAGAGCGTGTAAACGTGTTTGTATTTGTATATCTTCTACAGAGCTTTATTTATCTGAGGATTAGCCGAACTTTCTCATTCCCCCTGCTCTGGCCCCTCGCTAGCTGAATTGCATTTTGGGAAGGGGCCGTTTGGTTCACGAGAGCCGTCTTTGTCCAGAGGTGAATTTGCATGCAGGACATCAGGCTGATTGTGACCAGACAACACCCAAACAACTCAAGCAGCACCAAGATAGCGCCAGACCACATGCAGCGTGAGGGACTGGAGAGGCCCCATAGTCCTCCGTGTCAATGCCACTGCGGGCGGCACATATAGACATCTTATAAACAATGACGATAACAATCCAAATGAACTCTGTTCCGTTAGTATCATTTTGACAATGAAGACGGCCCCCAAAATACTCAATGCTAACAAGTTAGCGCAAATGTTTCTAGCTATGAATGTTTGGCTTGTTATCATAGTGTTCTAAATCCTGACCGACTAACTTTGTAGCACAAAACAAACTTGCATTGTATTCTGTCAGCCGGATTTAACATGAAATCATGGATTGGTAGGATAAATCATATGTTAATCAACTTTTGACAGTTGTTTTTGACACCAAACATGTGTAAGCATACCTCTACAGTGATCTTTGCTACTTCATCAACAACCCACACTAAAAGAAACTAGCCTAATTAGCTAAATGCCGTCATAGAAACATACTATGGCATTGCAATACCCTAGAAAACCATGAGCAAAACCATGTAAAGCAAGTAAAAAAAAGGCTAAAAAACAACATTTCAAAAAGGCTTCACTAGCGAAGAATATAAGCATGCAGTATTAGCACTGCTAGTAGTTAGCACTGCTAAGAACACAAAACATTTTTTTAAGTACACTGCCGCTTTATGTATTTTCTGGGTCCCAAACCAGAACAATCATTGATTTAGCCAAATCATAACTTTACCATTCGTTTAGCATGTATGTCAGGTAAGCTAATGGGTACAAACAACTAGCATTTTCTAAAATAACTTCTTTTGTGTTAAACAGAAGAAAGAAACTCAAACAGGTCTTGCAAAACTGAATGGTGAGTAAATGATGATGGAATTTTTATTTTGGGGCAAACTATCCCTTTAACTAGCGATGTTTTCCAACTCTTACGGCTGAATCCAGACCAGGTAATGTGAATCCTAAGTCATTCCAGTCTGAATGGATTCAGTCCAGTGATGGATTCAGGGAGGGGTGAACTCCCATAACCAGCCTCTATTGTAGAGCGGTAAGCTTGCGGTTGGAGTTTATGAGTGCAGTAGTTGGAGGCTTAAGAAATAATATCTCCCATTCTGATTGGTATGTGTAGACTCTTTGAGACAGATTTGTAGGAATGCGTTCTCAAACTTGACCTACACATATAGATCTGTCAGCACCGGGACATGATGTGTGCAAAGCCGAGCTGTCATGAACCTCTTGACCCCTGTGGCCCCTTCTGCTATGATTCCACTGGAAGAGTAAAGTGAGAGAGACCGGCAGACGGCCATCCCATGCCATGCTTATAGACTTTGGCGTTGATGGTATGAATAGCCTCAGGGTGGGCGGATGGGTATTCACTTACAGACAGCCATAGTCACACTGTCATGACCAACACATTTTTTTACAGTGCGTGTCATATTACCACATAATCACGGTTCTAATGATTGAGCTAATAATAAACCCCTTGCAGATAGAATAATCATAGGGCTTCGTTTTACACAATTTAGAACTGAAAACTTTAGGCTAAAATGCGAATTTATACAAGTTATTTATTTTAGATTAAAGCCAAATTGTCTTAAATGTGCAAAACGGCAGCCTTGTAACTGCACAGACTACGATTGGTCGAGACATTTGATATGCACCAGTCACCAAACATGCTGCTTCAAGTGCATGCCCACTAGAACTGATTAGTCCAACACATGGTGCAGCTCGTTCGTGGAATAAAAATAAATGTGTTCTATGAATCAGAGAGTAGCATGACTCACCACGGCGCTAAGATGTGGCCCGTGCAGTTGCGCAGTGAGGATGGCATCATTAATTCTTTCCCGGATGCGTAGAAGTCCCAGTTCCACTTCATATCTCTCTGATAATGCCCCACTCAGCTTCTCCAGAAGCGATACATAGTCTCGCCAGGGAGCATCCAGCTCAGCCACGCCTGCCAGGCAACCTCGCATCACGTTGAGACATAGGCCTCCACATGGCCGGATCAGGGTCAGTCCTCGACAGTGAGGACAGAACAACATGCGCACTAGTGCACGTCCACACACTCGTCCCATGCCCACAGACTCTGTGATGTTAAGTACATCTGCACCGACTGCCAGTGCCCGGCTGAGGGCACGACCAACCACAAGCGCCTTGGACAGTCCTTGAGCAAGTTCTTGTGGGTGATGGCCAAAGGGATAGATATCATGCCGTGTGGCACGAAGGCACTCAGTTCCTTCGGCAGACCAGGTTGAAACAGGTGAACCCAAGCCAGGATTGACCAGATGCTGGTACACCAATGGGAAGAGTTTGTCATAAAATCTGTAAACCGAGTGTTCCACAGAAACGTTATCATCGCCTCGAAGGTAGAGATCAAGGTCATTGAAGAGGGTGGACACCAGTGGTCTTGCATCTTGGGAGATTGTCTCGTAGGTGGTGTCGAAAAGTGAGTTGGTATGATTTAGAGTGAACGAGAGCAGGGAATGGAAGGTATCTGTGGGAAGAGGAAATAAAAGAAAGATTTTGGACTGAAGAAGCACTGAAAAAGACCTCCACGAACAGCTATTTCATAGTCATCTTAGATGGATAAACATTCGTAACATGAGAGACTAACAATTGCTGTAATTTTGTTTGACATTTACGAGAGGGTCAAAGATACTAGTCTGTCATGGTGCACCTCTGCCTTGTCTCGCATTGCTTACGACTCTTTCTTGTGTATCTAATCTCTCTTTCCATTGGGCTAATGGGAGCTGACAACACTTAATCCATGGATCTTTTGGGCTGGCGCTATTGGGCTGAAGGTTAGTTTGGAGATATGTGACACGTGTGACTAGCTTATTACCAATTTTAGCAGTCAGGGCGTCATTTTATACCTCACTATGCCTATGGTCTTCAAATGGAAGTTGAGGATCATAGTCTGTTGTGCCTTATACATTATTTACAATGGCATATTAACATTTGTGTGACAAGTGACAGATGGGTGCTTAAGTAGACAGCTGGTAGAACCCTTCAAAGTACAGTTTGCTTTAGTGTCATCTCATTCATAATGGCCAAAACATTCCAGCTCTGTCTGGTTTCTCTGTGAATGGCCCAAATGCTAAGAATGAATCGAAAGTTATGATTGCACTTTATTGATGCAGGAACAAAAGAACACCTGTTTGGCTCGTGATCCTAAAAGGCACCCAAAGGAAACTTTGTAAAACAAACCTTTGAGGTTTTAAAATAAATACATCAGGGATCTTGAAATATTGTATCTCTGCTCTTGCTATTTCTTTGTGTCTCTTTTCTGGAATTCCCACAACAATATGTAATTAAATTTCTTGGGCAAGGAATAGTATCTGAGTCCTTTCATCCAAGCCTCAAACCACAATCCGGGATAGGCAGTTTGTATGAATGACTGGGAAATGGGTATTGCGTGGAACAGGTTCAAGCACTGACACTTCAAACTTGAATCAATATAACAAAACAGCCCAACATCTGACTTACAGCACTAGGCCGAAAATCTGGGTGTAACTTGGTAACTACATCCAAACACCCTGCTATCAAGTGACATGACCAGGGATTACACCCGGATCAAGTATTGGGGTTCTTCTCAGGTGGTTCTGGGACATGGAGGCATGTTGGGGGGGGATCCATACTCAGGGGTCACAGAGGGTGCCTAGCAATCACCACAACTGACCTCTAACCTCAGGGACAGCGGGATGTTCTGAAAGGACAGACAGAAGGGTCAACCTGGATGGCCTTTCAATGATTGCTCTATTAACTTGGAGCCTGCTGGAATTGATATGGGTCCTTCTTTAAAAAACATCAGTGTCAGACTAACTCCACTCACTGTACCCAGTCCAGGACTGAATTTAGATCAAGGAAGCACACAAGTATTTTTAGTTCCTCTCAGGTTAAAGAGGATAGCTGGGCTTTGTTGGATAGCTAGTACGTGAGCAGCATATGTTGGGTTTGCTTTTGCAGTGAAATCACTTGAAGGGCAGAGAGGACTTTTTAAAGAAATAGTTCAGCTAAAACATGTGCTCACTCTCAGATATTTAACAGTTCATGCTCCTTCCTATATTTTGAGGTAGGTTTGAAGTCAGCAATATAAAATATGTTCGATTCTCACATGTCTGTGTTTGTGTACTTTTTAGTCCTTTTCCCCCAATATGAAAAAAGCCATTTACCCTTGTCTTCTATGGAAGAAAGTTACATTTCCCGAATGAATTCATAAGGTTCGTACTTGAGTTATTACTTTACCCTTAAACACACAAGTGTAGTCGTAGAGACAATAAGCGGTCTACATTAAAAATCCTCTTTCACGTGGGAATGAAAAACACTTTACAAACCTTCCTTCTTTTAAACAGGACACCAGCTACAACCATGCGAAAAGTAGCAGAAAAGGACAACTGATCTTTTCAAAAGCTCTCATTATAGAGCAATACATTGAAGTGCACTGAGACGGATCTCCAAGGATACGCCAAGAATTTCAACATTTCTCTTTTCGTTTGCTTTACACTCGTTAAATATTCACTCGGCTGGCAGCAAAGACAGAGAGGACAGCGGCTGTGCCCTTTTCCTGTGAACCTGAAAGGGGATTTGTGCAAGTTTGGGCAGACAAATTGGATGAACTTAAATATTTGGTTGGGCGAGGATTTGGAGTTGTAAATTGGAAGATTGCATGGTTTATGTCATCACATGGTATACATGCACCGGAGGAGATAATGACATGCACAGAACTGGCCTAAGTGTGTGAGTTCTGGTTCTTTTTGTATGTTTTATTCAAACACTGGTTGTGAAAGGCCTTGTCCTAATCCTAAAGCGCCAATCAACCCCTAGGATGCACATGTATTGCTTCACAGGAGACCTCAGGCAGATAAAGGATCATCCTGTGAGCATGAAAAACAGCGGACAAAAGCCAAATCTCCAAGTAACCTTGGAAAGTCATGATGTACAATGTAAGAAATGTTAAACACCACCTCTGTGTTTCCTATGCAATACATACAAAGTAATAACATGTCATATGACCCACCTGCTGTGGCAGGGACTTGATCCCATGACCTACTACTGCTGCTGCTGCGAATGCAAAAAGCACATGTCCTAGTGTTTGTTTGGCCAATAAGCTTCACTCCATCTCAATACATACCCTGGAAGGAAGAAGCATGGCCCAGGATGAGATACTTGAGTTCGAAGCTATAGGAGAGAATGTTTTGGAGTGTGTCTCTTTGAGCAGCTGAGTAGTAGCTCTCCTCCATCTTGCGGGTACAGCATGTGGGACCCTGGTGTTTACAGATGAGAAGTTCTGCATCTGTGATGGATTAATCATAGAAGGTGACTTAAGTAGAAACATTTGTGCCTATTTAAACCACATGTCTCATAACTTTCATATGTTGGATTTCTGAGTACAGTTTTTAACCCTCATGCAATACCTCCTCTAAAGTTTTTTTTCCAAGCTAACAAACTGATTATGAACACTGAATGGCTTTCCTGTGGTAAATGCAATTTGCAAAGTCAAGTGACATACTGTTTACATCGACTAAAAGTAGTTGTACAGCATTTTTACATGTAAACCTAAAGGGGGTTTTTAGCAAGTTTGGACAAACAAATTGGATGAACTTATATATTTGGTTGATCGAAGATTTGGAGTTGTAAATTGGAAGATTGGATGGTTTAGTAATGCGTACAATTTTAATCTTCATGCAATGCCTTCCTCTAGAGCAGGGATCAACAAACTTGGAGGTTCGGTGTCCTGAAGAATTTAGCTCCAACCCTGATCAAACACACCTGAACAAGCTAATCAAGGTCTTACTAGGGATACTTGAAACACCAAGGCAGGTGTGTTGAGGCAAGTTGGAGCTAAACCATGCAGGGCACCGGACCTCCAGGAACGAGATTGGTGACCCCTGCACTAGAGTATTTTTCCAAGCTAACAAACAAATCATGCACACCGAATGGCTTTCCTGTGGTAAATGTAATTAGCAAAGTCAAGTATAATACTGTTCATAATGTTTGCATCAGCATATTTGCATCAGACTTAATGTTTTCTGTGCTCTATATCAACAATACAATGCCAGATTTCACCAAGGCATTAATAATAGTGGAAAGGGGGCAAAGAGTCCATAGGGAGCCTATTGAAAGGGTGTATCTTAAAGAGCAGGTCGTATAGGTTTAAAAAAAAAATCTTAGTTGCAGTGTATATGCATATGTAACTTTGGGTAAAAAAAAAATGTAATAACGATGATAATGATTATGTATTTTCACCTGAAAATAGTTTTATAGTTAGGGGCGGGTTTTATTTTTGTGCTCCTCCTTTCAAACTAAGCCTAATTTGCCCAAGCCATCAAACTGATGTCATCAGAGAAGGGCTGCCATTTCAAAGCAGAAGCACAAGGTCAGATTTAGATGAATGATTATCAAAACAAAAATGTTTTCTTTTTCTGTGGATGTTGGAAATAGGCTCATTTAACAAATCCTCTAGAGTTAAACAGTTGAGTTCTACCATTTATGAATCCATTCAGCCTATCTCCAGGTCTGGCGGGAGCACTTTTAGCTTAGCATAGCTTAGCATAAATCATTGCATCTTGCGCAAAGAATGAAAATCTGTTCCCATACATGTTCAGAAATAAAGGTACAGGAGTTGTCTCTGGGGCAGTATCTTTTTAAAAGGTAGATATTTGTACCTAAAGGGTCCATAATGGTACTTTAAAGGTACTTTTTAGGTACACTTGAGTACTAATAGTCACCTTTTAGATACCACTGTGGACTACTGTGTACAAATATGTATTTTTTTTAAAAGGTACTTCCCCAGTTGCAGCATCTTTATCTTTTTTTTCTGAAAGTGCTGCAACGGGTACAGTAATATTATTCAGCGCTTTTATCATTCAATAACCATTGATTTAATGCTACAACAATGCTAATCTTTCTAATTATTACATTTTGTTTACAATTGTCATGGGACATGATTAACATACAAAGAGTGTGGCATAGGGGCAAGTAGGTGCATGTAAAAGGGAAAACATGTGATCAAGACAGATGATATCCGCTCTGTCAGTCATCCGGCTCTATCCTATGTGACCAATTTTACACCAATGGGACCCCATAAGCCATGCATTAGAGCAGCTGACTGTGATCACCGGCATTCGGATGACCTCTCTCACCTCTCAATACACATGGAACGTATGTACTAAGAATATTTTGTAATCGTCATGCTTTTCCAGTGTATCCTTTCCATAAACAAGAACCTGAGACAAACCTAAGATGGCTAGCTGTCAATTTCACAGGAACTCGCAAGCATTTTTTAGATGACTTCAGTTCAGGAATGCGTTTTTGATTTAACATGAAATGCGTAACATGAAAAACATTTGACAGCCTATCCTACAGTCGTTTTCATTTTGTCAACACCACTGGCATTTCTGATTTATGCTCTGTCATCAAAATGAACTGTTTGTTAGACGACTTTTTCAGTCGCATTTTACATAACATATAGTTTAGCGTATTCATAAATATATTAAACTGGGGGAAAACATGGTGTAGATACAATTTTCACTAAGGAAATGTTAGTAAACATAGACATTTAAAAGCCTGCAATATTTTCTCTTGTACAAATGACTTAGTAAATCTCACAAAAATAAAAAAATATATAAAAATCTACAGTGTAATAAATTAATAGGTCAATATTTTGTGCTTTTTGTTCAAATTAAATAATTATACTTAATTGGTTACATAACAGCCTAACAGGACATAGCTGAAACAATTCAAAGCAACATTATATGGGCCCACATCTAATATAATATAATATAATATAAAATAATATAATATAATATAATATAATATAGGGGCGAAGCAGTGGCACAGTAGGTAGTGCTGTTGCCTCATATCAAGAAGGTCGCTGGTTTGATCCTCAGTTTCCGTTTCTGTGTGGAGTTTGCATGTACTTCCTATGTTCGCGTGGGTTTCCTCCGGGTTCTCCGGTTTCCCCCACAGTCCAAAAGACATGTCCTACAGGTGAATTGGGTAGGCTAAATTGTATGTATGAGTGTGTGTGGATGTTTCCCAGAGATGGGTTGCGGCTGGAAGGGCATTCGCTGCATAACAACGTGCTGGATAAGTTGGTGGTTCATTCTGCTGTGGTGACCCCAGATAAATAAAGGCACTAAGCCGACAAGAGAATGAATGATAATATAATATAATAAAATATTATATATTATAATATAATATAATGACAACTATTTATTAAAATTCAGTCACGTTTCTTGACAGGTACACACACACACACACAAATCATTGTTTTAATTTTAACCTACATTAATAGAGGTTACTAAACCAAAAATAAATATACTTTAAACTTTTAAAGATCATTTGAGACGGTTTATTCCGCTGTGGTGACCCCTGAAAAAGAGACTAAGCCAAAGGAAAATAATGAATGAAAAGACATGTGACATTTTAAAAATAGATTAAATGAAGTGGCGAATTAACCGATATTAAATGGTCAAAGACTAAAATGATCAATCACATTCCCTAAAATGTTTTTGTTTTACGTCAGTTTGGCGTGATTTTTAACGTTATTTGTTGTTAGCAAAAACTATGTTAGTTATAGCGCTCCATTTTATATGTTTCATATTGTTTTGTTGTTTAAAATTAGACACAAGTAGCTGTTTATCGACTACCACAGCTTTAGTATACCGAGTTTTTAGTTATATACTTAACTTTTAATTAACATGATTATGTAAATCCCTCACATGTTCTCACAGTTAAAATTCAGTTGTCATTGTTTGTAACTTAACTGTACCTTCAAGTTACATAACATTTTTTTAAAGTCCTTGCTTTTTGTCAACGTGTTCAATTGGTCATATTTTTTTACTCTTGAAGAAGAAAAACATAAATATAGCTGACTAACCATCACAGGAAACTGTTCAGGATGTGACTGTTTATACCGTTTCCTCCGGTGCAAACAAACCTGTAGCTGCTGTCTCCGGAACCCACCGCAATGAGCCGACCTGCCGCAGCTGGAAAGCGGTTTTGACCTCATGACAGCTCTGCGCACCGGCGCTCTGAACCCTCCATATCAGCACACTGAAGAGCAGGATCCACATCCAGCAGACACGCGGTGCTGTCCCGCGGAGCATTGCACCATCTCAGTCAGTCCACAGAAAAGCCCTCTGAGCCAATGTGAAGGGGAAAAACCCGAGGCGAGACTGAAGAAAGTAACTATTATCCTGAAGACAGGCACATTTAGAGCCGCTTAATGAAGTATCCAGAGAGAATGTTTTGCAGCCTAGCAGGGGCTTCACATGCTGCGCGGTCTGCACTGGGGACATGTAAGGAAGGGCCCCTGTGTGTATCCAGAGACTTATGCCAATTTTGTGCGCCAAACACTCACTGCACACACCCCTCACACAGGAATAGATAGATAGATAGATAGATAGATAGACAGATAGATAGATAGATAGATAGATAGATAGATAGATAGATAGATAGATAGATAGATAGATAGATTTTTTTTCATCCGTTTAATGTTATTTTAAGGCTTATCTATTGGGAGAAAATGAATAAAATGCCTTCATAAATACCATATTGTTTTGCTTTAATACATTATTAATGCAAAATGTTTTAATGATCAAATAACTAAATTTACAGCAGCTTTTAGTAAGATGAAAGAGAAAGTTTTAAGTTATTTATAAAAAAATGTCAGCTCAGAAAAAAAATCTAAATAAAAATTTAAGATCTATTGAGTCTTCTTACAGTAACCATGTAAAAAAATTGAATAATTAATCAGAATTAGTTTAATATAAACTACAAAACTGTAGTAAAAGAAAAACATTTACGTGTAGGAATAAATAATATATTAATAGCTTTAAATAACAAACTTAGAAAATAAATAAGGAAATAAACTTATTATAACTTATAATAAAACATATTATATATATATATATATATATATATATATATATATATATATATATATATATATATATATATATAAATTGCTATTATATAAATAAATTGCATCAAATATTTCTTGATTTGTTTTTCTCTATTTACAGTCATAGTTTTTAGGAAGAAAAAAATATTTTGAGAGCAACTTAAGTCTAAATATTAAGCTAGTAACAAACACGCTTTCTTAAGGCCACAACTCAATAAATATTTTTTTTCTACCTAAGTCTAGCAGCAATCTCCATTTAATATTTTCTTCACACGACACAAAATGATTGGGAAGTAGATGAAATTGGTTTTGTGCAACCTGTTGATTTGTCCACTGAATATATAATAACTTAACAACAGAAGCAAATCAATATTGTGCAAATGCTGTGTGCATACACAAACACAAAATTATTTTATATCATTTTAAATCATCATGTCGACATTTACTTTGGTTTACATATTCAGAAAATGGACTACTGTTAGCAAAGCAGCCAACTGTAATTTTACCCGTGATTCAAAACTCCCACAAATTATATGACGCTTAAAAATGTTATAACTCCTTTAATCTTCAGCTGTAAACAATATAATATAATATAATATAATATAATATAATATAATATAATATAATATAATATAATATAATATAATATAATATAATATAATATAATATAATATAATATAAATCTCACAAGTCCACAAATCAGCGTTATTTCGTCCTGTCGCTACGAGGCGCAGTATGTTCATTCATCACACTCTTTTTTTAAATAAATAATGAAGTAACACCACTAGATGGCGAAATACTGTAAATAGAGGGATTTTTACCGGATTCAGAGACGCAGAAGGAATAATACAAGCATGCTGTGATGTTATGTACTCCCAAGTTCACACTTTTCCGAGTTTAAGATCAGCTAAACGCTTATAAAGACACATGGCTGGGAATATAAAAGATAAAGAAGCATTTCAACGCCTCAATTTCCTCTATCAGGTTAGTCAGACTCTCTATCATTCGTATGATATCCTCTCATACTCATTCGAATATCTCCAAATCTTTTGCTGATGTTTTCTTCTTACGGTTAATCAAAGGCTGCTCACTGCGTTTTGGCCCAAAACCCAGAGAACATCGAATTAGCACGATTTTACTGCTTCACACAGAAGACAATCTCTAAACGACTAGTGCTCAGACAGTAAGTATGCTGTAACTATAAGTGTTTACACTAATATACGTCAATTTTAAATGTACAAACTATAGTTATTTTAAATTAAGCTTCAGCAAAATATGTTTTTTTTTTCTGTTAAAAGAGACCCTTCAGTGAAGAGAACCATTTGCAAGAAATGCTACACTTTACTAATACCAGGTGTCACATCAACTGTACGTCAAAAAAGTAAGGTCTATCTATCTATCTATCTATCTATCTGTCTGTCTGTCTGTCTGTCTGTCTGTCTGTCTGTCTGTCTGTCTGTCTGTCTGTCTGTCTGTCTGTCTGTCTGTCTGTCTGTCTGTCTGTCTGTCTGTCTGTCTGTCTGTCTGTCTGTCTGTCTATTTAAAAGTTAACAATTCATTTCAAGTTAATTCAATATAAAATTTTAAGGAGGAAAGGGGCGACAACGTAAGACTGTTGTACGATGTCTAAGTTGTGGACTGACCAAACGATTCCCAAACAACCCGAAACATAAACTGTGGGTGGATCAACCAGAGGCTCAACTAGAAAACCAGACATCTCAAGGTAAACTTATTTTGAATTAGCAAAACATTTAAAATATTTTGGAACAGTAAACATGTCAGGCTAAATAACTCAAATTCATTATTGGCTTCTGCTGTCTTCATTAGTTTCAAAAACAGATTTTTTTACTATTTTAAAATGGCGTCTTTGGAGATATTTTCTGCTGGAGAAACTGCTTTCCTTTTAGAACGGTATAGCAGAAAATGTTGTTAGTTTTAAAACCTTGACTTTTTCAAACCACTGTCTACCTTGAATCATCCCATGCTTAGCACTGAGGTAAAGTTGGTTTTATATTTGCACATTCAGACATTAGCGTTTAATAAAATAGTAAAGTATGATAAAAAAGGCTTATACAGATGAATTATCATGACGTACTGTTAAGAGCGCAACACATTATATAAACATGCTTACCTCTATATATTTTTTACACTACTTTGAATATCATTCTGAAATCATGTTAGTAAGACCTCCAAAAAACATAAGCACCATTTAACTTTACTATGAACAATGTTGTAGCTTGATAGTCATTGGATGACAATTTGAATTCACCATTTAAAATTGGTTAAATTTTCCATTCAGTTCATCATAGCAACACATATTTTAAATCAAGTCTATTATTGATTCACTAACATACTGTTTACATCATTGACAAATCACAAATATATCCAGAGGAGATACAGAAAAGTATCAAATCACAAATATGAAAATAATTAAATAAATAAATAATATTACTTGATAAATCCTATCACTCAAAATAAAATAAAACTGGAAAATGCTACCCTGTTTGTGTCATTAAAGTTAATTTTGTTAAAGCATAATCTGAGCTTTATGGCACATAAGACTTGCTATATTAAAGGGATAAATATCTAATGAAATATCTATTAACATATATGAAGTGTTGGTGTAAGAAAATAGGTGGAAATAATTAGCTGTAGAAGCTAAACTAAATGTTTTTTCATCTAATGATTGGTAAATTATGTTACTGGTATGTTAGAATAGCTGGCTAATCAGGTAGCATACTACTGTAGCATTATGCAAAGCTAATTGGTAAACCACCTACCTTGTAAATTACCTGACAAAAGAGAATGTTTGTAGCAGTGAAATCCAAGCTAACTGGATAATCTGCTAGTGATATGTTAGCTTGTCAGGCTAATCTGTTATTGGTATGTCAGGAATGGCAGGCTAATCAGGTGGCAGTGAGCAAAGCTAATTTGTAAGAATAAATGTAGCAGTTAAAAAACTGAAAGCAAAGTTTGCTGGTTGATTGCTAGTTGAAATTTGCTTGATGAGTGATGTTAATTTAGGGGGTTAATGTGTTAGTGGGATGCTATGTATACAGGTTATTTGGCTAATGAATACAGTTTTTTTTTTAATTTAAGGCCCCGTTTACACTAATGCGTTTTAGTTTGAAAACTCAAAAGTTTTGCTACGGTTACGCCAACCGTCCTCACTACAGCGGAGTTCTCGAGCGCACAAAATGGAGCGTTTCGAAAACGCTGGAGAGGCCGTTTTCATTCTGAAATGCTGCTGCTCTGTCTCAGTGTGGATGATGGAAAACGGAGACATCTGAAATCGAAGGCGGGGCTGCAGACATTCATCTCTCTGATTGGGGCTTTTCCTCAATATTAAGTAGCCTAACACATACAGTTCAGTCCTGCATTCTCTCCTTGTAAGTTCAGACTTCGCAAGTTTGATCAAGGCTGCAGTCTCTTCTTCTCAGTTTGATATGGAAAACAGACTGGACGTGGGTAAATCTTCAAAGGGAACAGTGTACTTTATAACTTCATTCACATCACCCTGGCTTCGTTGTTTCACTTTGTCAACAATAAAATGTAAATATGATTTAAGGAACTGCCTATTTTCATTTTAATATTAGCAACTTAACAGACAGCAGAAATGTTGAGGCGTCGTGCTGCAAATATGAGCGTCATCTTCACTGTGTGGATATTTACAACAAAACGGAGCCCATAACAACTGCCTCCTTTAAATTTCAGTAAAAATACAAAACATACCCTCTCTTTTGCTGAATATCAGTTTTAATAATCGATAATGGCCATTATAAAAGTATAACATACAATAAGTTTATACATTATTGCAAATAAAGGCAAGAGATCAGTCAATATACAGAATAGGCTACGTGGTTACATTAATCATTAACTTATCTTTGCGATCAGCCAAAGCACGTTACCTGAGAACAAGTAAAAGATTCCAATGACCAAAGTCAGGGAATATGTCGTTAGATATAAGCCCCTTTCACACATACAGACCTTTCCGGAAAATTACCGGCAATTTTCCGGAAAGGTTGTATGTGTGAACAGGTCCTTTTTGAAAATACCGGTAAATTCGTTCTGGCTATTTTCCGGAAAGAGAAGTTGTAACATTACCGGCAATTTGCCGGAATGCTGCGCTGTGTGAACGCAGAAGGAATATTTCCGGAATAAGCGCGTGCACGTCTAGAACGTGCTGACGTGAGCCGTCTACTT